GTGCCCGGCCTGAATTGCCAACTTTTTGACTGTACTGGGGATGAATGAGGACCCTGATGGCTGTGAACTGGGAAATGATTAATTAGTGCTAGATTCTGAAAGTGAAATACTTTTTGGAATATCTTAACCTATTCATTTTATTTGTATTTTCTCTTATGTATGCAGAAGAATGATATGATAAAAATCTATCTAAAGTCCTAAAATAGTCCTTTCAATAAATATACAATAAAATTCTAAGTGAAAATAAAGCGCTATGGCTTAGTTTAATAGTAATACAAAAAACAATGACACATATTATAATTAATGGCTTCTTCGGTTTGATAAACTATGGTAATAATGCTGACTTCACAGGGTTTTTGCAAAGTTTAGAGGAAGTCACGTGAAAAGAATAAAATGCTAGGCACAGTAACTGGCATATTCCAGACAGGCCCATGTAGGCAGTATCAGGCTCTGTGGTTCAGTTCTTTGTCACTCAGGAGACCTCTAAAGATTCTTTAGCCTGTGGCTGAAACATATATGTGAAGCAGATGGCCCTGCTATTTTTGCTAAGCTATTATAACTAAACTTAGCATTTAATCCAATCCTAAGATCACAAAAACAGCCGATAAGCGACTATTAGTTTTGGTTTCTCAGAAGAAACCAAATGCTTTAATGATTGATTCCATTTCCATAAGGGAAAGTGGGTTAAAGAATTACAAGGAAAAAAGAAAAGAAAAAGAAAAGCCCAAGTACAAAAAAAGTGAGTTGGAAAGCCCAGAGGATAAATTGGGAATTTTTATATTCTGGTCTGTCTCTTTTTGTAGCATGGCCTTTCTAGAGTGAAGACAGTATCGTATCAATCAGTGCCTTCAGCTAGTGGTCAGTGGTCTGCAAAGCTGTGTGTGACCATGGTTCAAACACTAAGGAGGATGTGAAACAGTTTTATGGTAATCAATTTCCAAACCCCAAGTTCCCGCATCCTCCTTGGGCTGTCCTGCTTCCTTCACCCCTCCCCTTCAAATCACGATCACCCTCAGCTACTCCAAATCTCACCATAGGGTGAATTGCCAGGGCACGTCAACACTCCTAGATGCCAAATTTTTTTTTTTTTTTTTTTGAGACATAGTCTCACTGTGTTGCCCGGGCTAGAGTGCCGTGGCGTCATCCTAGCTCACAGCAACCTCAAACTCCTGGGCTCAAGC